TATATCTGAAAATAATAAGTGATTATACTCAATATTCTATAAGGAGATATTTTCAGTTGCAATAAACAATTTTTATCTTAAAAGAACGTATAAATATCGACAAAAATAATTCGAAAGTTGCATCTTTTTAAATCATACGATTATTTTAAAAATTTATTAACTATTGAAACCGAAATCTAGTAGTATTCAATGAACCGAGTATTTATCTAATTTCTTCGAATTGTTTTAAGTAACATCGCTTCTTTTTCTCATACAACTATCATGACAAAGTCTTTTCCTTAAATTGCCATTATGAACGAAGATCGTAGCGAAAACTAGCAGAAATAAATTGTAAAGAAAATCTATATCAAAGTTTGTCTTATACATAATAGCTTTCATTGCTACCATATCGTAATATGAAACAGATAGAAATTTTTATACCGTAAGAAAAGCCTTAAAGACTTTGGTAAGTATGCTGCTCTTTGTTAGAACAGTTTAGATTAAAAAAATATTTCATTTTTTTTTAAAACTATTTTCTTTTATTGACACAACTTATAACAAAGGAAAATAATGATGAAAATTTTCTGGACGAACAAATGATTGACATACATCAAGACTTTTCAATGTATGGAAATTGAAATATGTTGCATCATTGGTGAAATAATTCGTTAAGTTTGCGAGTGATTCATATTCGACACGAAGATTTAACAAACGAGGTAGATGAACATTGTTTTTCAAGAGAAATAGTTCAGCATAGTTAACATGTGCATATTGAAGGTCAAGAAATTTGAGATAAGGAAATGTGATTAATAATGATGAATATGATTTGTTGTTTTGTGGATGACTGTTGGATATATACAAAATTTGGAGAAAAGGAAAATCTCCAGAAATTCGTTGAAAAAGTTGATGTTCAAAAGAAACGCTATCGCTCATTGTCAATTGTCGAACTTTATAAAAGACTCCACCTTGAAAAGAGTTGTCGAGGTGAAGAAAATTTTCGAAATCATATGGAAGTGAATAAATAATGCATTGGCCTCTAGTGTTCGTTGAATTAGTATGAACATACGAAGCAACTTGTTCGTATCCTCTTCGAATGAAACTACGTTGAATATCTTTATTTGATTGAAGTTCAACATTAACTGTATCGTTGAAGACTTTTGTATTAATCCAAAATATAAATCTCTTTAATTGTGTCATGTAACCAAGAAATTGATCATATAATTGAATACCATCAATATAACTCGAGTTAAATCTTTGTAATGATAGATATAATTTCAATTCTTCAAGATTTATCATTCGACAAAGTAACGGAACAATTAGAATATCATAATAACATGTGAAATTAGAAGCGGTAAATGAAAAATATTTCAATTTGGGAAGCTTTTTCTATAAGATAAAATTAAATTATTTATTTAGTTTAGTCTTTTTCTGAAGAAAATAATCATCGAAATTCTACTTACCCTTGAACTGATATCTATTATTGGATCAAAAATCTGTCCCACATTAATAATTAATATTGTTAAAGAATCGAGACGACCATCAAGAAGATAAAGACAATCAACCAAACTGGTAACATTGATTTTCAATTTTATTAAAGTTGAAGACATATGACTTTTTGATGATAGATAAAAAATAGGCGTCTGATTCGTTCTTATAGGAAACATATCGCAAAAATTTAAAGAAATTAAATTTTTACATAAAGATAAGATTAATTCAAAAATCTTTGAAAGAGTTCTCGAACAATATTCTGTTCTCTTTTTAGTATCAATATTAAGATGTGTTATTTGTTTCATAAGAAGATTGCGAAGAATTAAATCATCTTTAATTTAAAAAAAAAAGACATTTATTTATTTCTCTTCACTATTTCATTATTTAAAACAAACAAAAGAACAATAGTATACCTGTTAAATATTGATATAGTATTTCTTCTTCAAAATTAATAAGTGATAAATAATAAAGTTTAGGATAAATACCAGCAAGAAGAATATTTTTCATTGAATATTGTTCAATAGTCAGTTTATGTATTTGATGATGAATGCGAGGTAAAATTTTTTCATAAATTTTTGATAGAATTTTTGTATTTATTGAAGATGTTTGATCATACAATGAATTAATGATCATCAAATCAGTCATATCAAGATCACGAACATAAAGAGAATCAAGTGCTAATCGATCAAATTGTTTATTAATATCAACAAGTGAATAGAGTACATCAGTTGAATTGAGTTTCTTAAAAATCATCAATAAAATTTCATCAGGCAAATCAAGTATATTGACATCATCGTTATTTAACTTAATCATATCTTTAAGGTAATTCATACAGTGCATTTATGTCAATCTATATATATATATATATATATATCTCATTGCCGTCTATAAGAAGAATGACGGATAAATATTAATGTCGTCATACTGTTCTATAATGACGATAACAAACAATTAGACTAATTCAAAATGAACTAACCAATAGAATTATCATTCTGAGATACAAAGAAAGGTCAGTCATATTTTTTAATTCACCTTGAATTAGTTCAGAGGTCAAACACACTAGAACAAATAAAACTGAATTCAGAAATGTGATTAGTGTTTCCATGTAGCAACGTTCATTCTATTGGTTAATTCAGTTTTAATTCGTCTAGTATGTTTGACTCCTTAGTATGTATAAGGTCGTTGACTTTGAAATTGATGATGACATTTGTATTGTTGTGTAATATTTTCTCTTGCAATTTTTTCTAGTCTATCGGTCAGCCGATTATACTCTTGTCAGAAAAAATCTTTCTCATATGGCGTACTTGTAACATTTAATATTATGTTTAGCATAAAATAAAATAAATTATGTGAGTTAGACATTAAAAATAGTCTCTTGAGAAATGATCAAGAATCTTGTTGAATAAAAAGTTTATTGATTTCATATAGTTCAACTGAAAATTGAATAATATAAATATATAAGAAGAAGATTGTGGTTGGTTTGATAGAAAACTGGAGGTTTTTAAGTTAAAATTGAAAATGTCTAAATACGAAAAGTGAAATGAAAGCTTATAGTATTTCCTTTGAATGAACTCCCTTAGAGAGAATATCAATGACAAGATAGTTTATCAAAAGAGAAAATATTTTCACGTCTGTGGACCGAATAAATCAAAAACAAAAGCAAAATATAAATTTTTTTTATCGTCGCGTATTTTAACCCTTTGAGGAGCAGCGTACCTTATAAGGAACCAGAGCTGCCAACTCCGAATGTGTCAAATGTGATACAAAAGGTTTCAAATGGGGTACAAGATTTTTTTCAAACGAGATATAATGATGGAGGATATAGTTTTTCCAAAATTCAAGGGCATGATCCGAAAAAAATGACTGAAGTAGATGGTTTATTTAGCAAATGAGAAGCTACATTTAACTTTTCCTATTTGAGAATGTTCGAATAAGATTGCTGCGTTTTCGTTTCGGTGATTAGCTGCTGCTTTGATTTCTACGATCGTGACGCCCGAGTGGATCAGGTTGTCAATGTTCATTTAGCCAAAATTATAGTGAAAAATGATTGTTTTTAGCCTTTCGAAGACAAATCAAAACGAATATACCGGGTGAGTCATAATAATTGCGCCAGTTAGTATTTTGCGAATATCTCAGCACAGATCAATCGTATAACCTTGATTCTTTTTTTTAAAAGATGTGCCGTCGAAAGTTCTACAAAAGCTGTATGAACAAATCCCTACTGACTTGTTCTAATGATGTCTCCTATGCTCAAAATGAATAGGTCACATGATGGTGCAAAATCCCATCGTCTTAAATATTTGGAAGACTTTTTTGTTTTGCAATAAGAAATTGTTCATACAGCTTTTGTAGAGCTTTCGACGGCGCATCTTTTAAAAAAAAGAATCAAGATTATTTGATTGATCTGTGCTGAGATATTCGCAAACTACTAACTGGCGCAATCATTATGACTCACCCGGTATTTACAAAACCTGCAAGTTCAAACAATATTTTTAAAAAACTAAATAATGCTTTTTGAAGAGAGCTCTTCGGACTAACAAATCATTGCGCAAAGTTTTTCTTGAGTATACATAGATTTGTCAAAAAATTGAGTTTATTCGTTATTAGCGACGTGAATCATTGCGCATATAGAAAGGAAAAATCTTCTTATAATTGAATGAAAAGTCTAAAAACCAATTCTAAATGGCATATACTCTTGGAAGTCGCGAGATGATAGTAAAACAAGAGTTCTCGCTATAGGACAAGAGAAGATCTGGGGAAAGTCAGTTTTTTAGAGGCAGTTTTTCGAAGCCTAGTCATTTTGAAAGTTTCACTATAGATATAGTCTATGGCATGAAGTCTATTCTGAAATTCTTGGACTTTCCTAGAATTCTGTTCGAAACTTTTCAGGAGCAAGTCTTTTGGATCCTTACAAAGAGAATGCCAACTATGCCCACGCTCTTAATGAGGAGATACAAGGATTTAGTTAAGTTTCTCACAAGTTTCTATTTAGAGCCTGTCACGAGTTTAATTTTGAGGATCCTATTAAGATTTATGACAGATTCAGCGATGGTTCTTGACAACAATGAATGAAAGGGTTTCATCATTCGTTCGAGACTTAGAAATCCCTGGATCTCAACAAGTTTTAAATGATAATAGTGAACGAAACCTAAACCTTAATAAATACAAGATTTTTTCGATGTTTCACTGGGCTCTTGTTACACACCTATTAGGATTCTGAGAAGTTAAGATCCTGTTAGGAATTAAGAGTGATCTTGATATAGATGAATAGAAAGATTTCGTTAAAAGCGGAAACAATCGGTTTTTTCTCTGGATCTTTTCAAGGTTTAGAAGAAATATCATCTGAGACTCAGATCACGCCACCAAATTCTTTTGTGATCTTATGTACCGATAAAGCTAAAACAAACTATTAAACTACGGTGTCACTATTCATTTAGATGATATTGCACTAAGCTTTTTTTTTATGACAGTCATTTTCTGTAAGAAACAAGTGCTTCAATAAAACCGGCTTTCAATCTCATGCATCTATGAGAAAAGGAGTTAGAAATTTATTTTTTAAATTGAATGGAAATCAATAAGAAATGGATGAATTTTGCTAACTGGAAAGAGTACTCAAAAACAAGATATTGCATAGATTAAAGGATCGAAAATGGTTGATCCGCAAGTAGGTCCTATTTGAAAACCACTTCGGAAATCAGTTCCACCTTAGAATTAGTGCTTCTCGCTTTAAAAATATACCACTCTCGGTTGACATGGACAATTTTCGTGGACACTTCATAGTGTATTCAACGTGATAGTCAATCAGCTTGCCCAGAGCCGATTTCTACTAAAAATTGCATAATGTAGTGCCTGTGATAACCACCTGGCTTCAAAGCGAGAGCGTCCTTCGTTTTGTATACAGAGAGCTCATTGAGAATTACAAAACTATGCTTAAACATGTACGAAAATATGCTGCGCTCAAAACTTTCCAAAGACCATACGGGCAGAATCCCATGAAAATTGTATTGGCTAAGCAGCTCTGTCCACACAATCTTCATCATTGATCATAGAACCACCATTATTTTTCAGAGTAGACAGAGATCATTGTGAGCTACAGAATGGTGCAAAATTATGTTGCAAAATATGCTGCTCTCGAAATATTTTGGAAGTTCGGATCAAATGAGATAGGGAGATCCAATGTGATAATCTGGTTTGTTGACGCTATCTGAATGGCTTTTGTGACGGTTTAGCTCCAGTATCATGGTGAAGAAAGCGGACAGATGACATTGGAAAGAGGACGATAAAGGGAGTATGGTGCTCGATACGTCGGTCCAGATGTTGAATTTTATATGTATCGAGGATTTGCTGTATAAATATTCTCTGTAAAAGAAGAAAGAAAGATGAAAGTGGTAGATCGAAGACATTAGTAAGGTTTCGAGTAGACTAGGAAGAAGAGAAAGAAAGAGACAGGAACAGGTGAAGAGAGGGAGAAGGGATGGTAAATAGAGAGAGGCAGTGAAAACAGGAAAAAACAAAGAGAAAGAGAGAGATAGGAGAAAAATATAGAGGATGTGGGTGCGGGTGGAGGCGTAGTTGAGCTGTTGGATTGGGTGTGGGTGTGGGTGTGGGTGTAGTTGAGTTATTGGATTGAGTATGGGTGTGGATGTCGGTGTACAGAAAACCTTTATCCACTGTCACACCCATATCTACACCTAGAACGTCCACCCTCAGAAAATCATAACGATTTCCAGTCCTAATTGCTGCTTACGAAAAACCGGTGAACATGTCCGAAAATGGTCGTTTCGACCGACTAATTCATTTTGCGATAACGAAATTTTCATTTCTTCTCTGTCTACTCTCTCCAATGGTTCTATTGTATTTTTGTTATTAAATTTTATATCTTTAAGTGTTTATTATATTTTCTGCTCCTGTTTTTTTCTCATGATGCTGTTGTATTTTGTTTTTTGTAAACTCAATGAATTGGCATTGCTTTTAAAAATAATATGAGTAAATAATATATACCGTGTAATAATATGAAAACGTTCTCTTTTGCATTCAGCAAAAAAATTCAATGAAAGCATTATATGCACGTTGTAGAGTATTTTGGCCTGTTTTGTCCTTAAGAACAATACAGAGCATAACATTTTTTTAGAATTAAAACTAAAAAGCATAAGAAAACGTGCAAAATAAGTACTCTGTAAACATCTTGATTTTGACACTGATTTTCAAAAATAAGCTGTCAAACGTCTGTCCTTTGCAACATTTCACTTTAGAAATGAGACGATGACGATAATCGGTCACTGATCTATCGATATCTCGTACTAACCGGTAAACGGTAATCACCAGTATTCACCACTATCTATCAGTACTGCTCTGTTCACTCCGATTTCAATATGGTTTTTCTTTGAGCAATCAGATTTCAACAGCGTTATTTTTTTCTTCGGCAATCAGAATTAATGTATCTTATCTCTTCAGTTAATCGGGTTTATAGAGTGAAATCTCTTTTCAAAACACAGTAAATATCTGATTCATCGGGAGTAGTTAGCATTGAAACTAATTAAGCAAAAGAAAAGCAAACAAAATCTCGATTGGTTGAGAGAAAACCTTGTTGGAGTCTGCTTAGGTGGAGAAATGTCTCAGAAATATTGGTGCATACCGTTTACCGACTTAGGGTATTCGCTTGTATTTCATTTCAAAATTTAAATATTGGTATTTCGAAGAGAACTAGATTCAAAAACTTAGTCACAATCTTCTCGAATTTTTGTAATATTAATTGTCTACTTTTCAAAAGAGTAATACGATACTTGGTTATATTGATAAAACGTACTCATTGC